CAGAGGACGGACCGCTCCCGGGGAACGGGGCGCCTCGCGCTCCCGCCCCGCTAGATCCAAGGGGGGACCCGAAAGACAGGCGAGGGGCGCCGGGAGGGGGAGGGTGGGAGAGCCCCCCGGGGAACCCCTGCGCCGTTAACTCTTGCACCGCCGCCGGAGCCGGCGGGCGGAGCGCGGGGCGAGGAGCTCATGGGCCCGGCGGGGCGACGGCGTTGCGCGCCCGGGCTCCCTCCCCGCCCTCGGCCGGGCGCGCCGCTCGCCGCCCCGCCGCCCAGGAAAGGCCCCGCGGCGGGCCGCCGCTTTCCAGGAAGGAGATCCGAGCGCGCCGGCTGATTCTGCAGCCTCCGCGCCCTCGTGGGAAGTGGGTGGCGCCCCCGCCCCACCGGGACCAGCCGGCGGGAGGCGGAAGAATCCTTTGTTGGCTGGTTCGGGACCAGAAGACGCGCCGGCTGCTTCCTCGCCCTCGCCCGCTTCGGCGTCCTCCGGGGAGGCGAAGACAGCCCCCGCCGGGGGCCGCCGGGGCCGCGTTCCGCTCGGAGCTGCAGCGGGAGCGTGGCCTGGCACCGCCGCGCCGGAGCGCAGGATCGGGGCCGCCGCCGCCGCTCCGCCTCGCCCGCCCTGCGCCGGCCGGCACCTCGCCTGAGCCAGCCCCTCGGCCCGCCCTATGGTAGCCGGGCTGCCGCTCCTCGGGACTCGGGCGAAGCATGGGCGGCGGGGCTTCCGCGGGAGCCGGGCGCCGGCAGCGGGAGTGAAGTTGCCCCCCGATGGGGCCCCGGCGCTGCGGAACACGGTAGGTGCGGGCGTGGAGGCGGCGGCGCGGGGGGCGAGCCCGGGCTGGGCCCTCGGCTAGGATCGGGGGGGGGTGCGCGTCTCCCGGCTGCGAGGCTGCGCGCCGTCTCCCTGTCTCCGAAAGCGATCGCAGCGGGTTGCGTGACATTGATCGCGCGCCGTGCCGCCCGACGAGCATCTTCCGCGGAGAGATCCGTGCAGCTCCGGAGCGCCCGATCCAAAGCCCCCGGCGGAAAGAGCGGGGGGGCTGGGCTCCGAAGGGAGGCGCGGAGAGGGGGCCTGGAGGGTCTTCCCCAGTTACGGAGATGCTGTGCCCCGCGGGCGGCTTAGAAATTTCGGGGTTTGACTGGAGGGAGTGAAGAAGGGATGGAGGGTGTCCCTGACCATGTGCAGAGCGTTTCCTCTGTCAGAGCTGAGTAGCCACGGCCACATCCCACTGTGCAGGGCGGCACGGACAGTTTCCAGGTCAGGGGGTCCCGTGCTCGTTTCATTGATCGATTGACTGACTGATTGATTGGAGTCCCACGCAGGCCAGGAGCCCCAATCGCCTGCCTGCCAGCCATGCAGCGTCACCATAATCTCCACTCTGCATTTCAGACAGATAAGGCTGGAGCACTGCATAATAAAAAAGGGGAGCGGAAAGTGTGGGGGCCCCCCGCTCCCCCCCGTCTCCACTTGCTGCCCCCCCTCAGTCCCACCTTGCACAGCCTCCCCCCCTCCCCTCCCTTTCCAAGATCAGCCTGAATCCTTCTAGACCGGCCTGGAGGGGGGAGCGCAGGCAGGCAGGCAGGCAGGAAGAAGACAGGTGGGGGAAGGGGGGGCGAGGATGGCGTGAGGCTGGGCAGCCGGGGAGCCGCGGTGCTGTGCCGGGCTTGCCAGGTGGCCGGCGGCGGTTCCCCCCTTAACAAGGGGGGACAGCTCAGATGGTTCGGGGGCCCCCAGCAGCGAGAGGGAGCCCCTCCTGGCCGGCCGGCTGGCCTCGAGGGCTGTTGGGGAAGCGCCCGCCAGAGCCCCTCGGGTGAGGAAGGATCCTGTGGCGAGGTCCCTCCGGGGAGCTTTCCCTGCTCCTTAGCGTGGTGGAGGAGTGCACTGTGCCCCCCTCCCCGTCGAACAGGCCCAGCCCCTCTCCGGGTGGGCAGTGCTGCCGGAGGGGGGCCCCAGGCACCTGCCCTTGGGCCACGTGGGAGGTGCGCCGCAGAGTCCTCAGAGGCAGCTGGCACCCCTGGGCACATGGGGGCCCCTCTTACATTTGCCAGCGGAGCCAAGGTGGGGAAGCCACTGGGGCGCTGCCCGTCCGTCCGTCCGCCCACAAGCGGGGTGTGCTAGATGTGCCCGGATGGCCCTTGTAGGCTCCTGCTGCTGGCCTGCCACAGCGTGTGAGTGTTTCATTTCAGCCAGCGTGGCCTAGTGGTTAGAGTACCGCACTGGGACTCAGGAGAGCCGAGTTGTGTCCCCACTCAGCCGTTACGCTCACTGGGTGACTTTGGGCCTGCCGTGGACTCCCTCGCAGGGCTGTTGTGAGGACTGAACAGAGATAAGAAGACTGTGTGTGCTGCCTTAGGCTCTCTGGAGGAAAAGATGGGGACAAGCCAAAATGCTGCTGCTAATAATAGCAATAAATGCTCTGGATGTTTCTGGAATATTAATCCCACAGCGAATTGTTTATTACATCTCCGTATTGCCTAACAGCCAGTCCCTCCAAGCTGAGAGCGTGAGCCTGATGGTAAATATCTGGGAACACGTGTTGTTGAGCAGTCAGATTATAGGAAGGGGCTGACCTGCTTCTTCCCCCCATGAAGGGGCAGGGGCATGGGGTAAAATCCTGGCATCCTTGCTTCATGCAGCAAGCCCTGTTTCGGATATAATGTCTCAGGAGAGGGGGTAAGAAAGACCTTCTTTGTGACCCTCCTTTTTGTACTCTTCAAGTCGCTAGTCCTCAGAGAGGAGGAGAGAAATTAAAGCAAGAAATCCTCAATCACCTGCACAGTGAATACTGCCCAAAGACATGGACCAGTGAAGACAGTTGGCCAGAATGATGTGTTTTGTGTACCCAGCATTTAGCATGCAGTTGACACTGTGCAGGTGTTCTCACAAAATTGCCCCTTCCCATTGCCCAGTCCTGGCTCAGTGCCAAAAACAGCCATTCTGTTGGCGGCGGCGGCAGACTTTGGCTGGTAGCAGAGCGAGCGTTTCTGAATCACTCCCTGCGCTTGCTGGAAGCTCGCATTCCCCTTTCTTCCGTGTCCTTGTTTTGCTCGCCCGTGTGTTCTAAATGCATCGAGTTGCAAACAAACAAACAAGCCCAAAGGTTTGCAATATTAATGTATCATGCAAATTGTGTAACTGCATGCCAATTTGCATAAATTAGTTGGAGTACCGGAAATCTGAACTTGCCCAGGATTCTCATCTGTCGGCAGAAACGGTGTGCGCGTCTTGAATCTCGGGCATTTCTTGGGGGCCTCATTTTCATGGGGTGGCGTGAGCTCCATGCCTCAGTTTGCCCATGGGAGGCAGGCCCGGAGCAGCAAATTCACCGCGGTGAGCGGAGAGTGTCCGGCCGCTTGGAGGGCTCTTTATGGAGTGAGCTTCACTGCTTCACAGCAGAGACCGAGCAGATGGAGACCCGGCGTTTCGCACCCGGGCCTGTCCCGGCCTCAGGCACCTCCGCGAACAGCAAATCCAGTCACTTCTTCCCCAGCATCCAGTGCATTCGTAATCCATTCGTAATCCAGGCTCACCCCAGAAAGCACTTCCTTGAAAAGCTGGGAAAGAGCCAGCTTCCAGAAACGGGGGTGGCTTTCTCTGGCAGAGGAGGGTTATTGGGGGGGGGGGAGCAGGATGCATCGCTTGTCTGGATCTTCCCTTCCTCACTCCGCTGCCCCGCTGTGTGATGGATTCCTTGCCAGGCGGCGAGAGGAGCGGCCCCTCCCTCTCGGAGCCCAGCCAGGCTGCTTGGAGCCCCCCCTCCACCCCCAGCCCTGATCCGGCAAGTCCTTGTAATGACGGGGATGGAGCTGACGGCACTGCCCACCCAGATGCCGACTGCCTCTGAAATTAATGCCAGCGGGTGGGGGTGGGAGAGAGGGCACGCGCGTCCGGCATGCTGAGCAAGCCGGCTGGCTGGAGATGTTATTTGTTGCCGAGGGAGTGTGGGAGAAGCCCTCCGTGCACCCGGACTCGGCGCGGCTCCTCACGCAGGCCCAGCCGCTCCTAGGGGGCGCCCCCACCCTGCAGGGCTGGGAGCTGAGGGCCCGTGTGCCTGGAGGGCCCCAGGGTGGGAGCGGCCACTCCGGACCCGTGCCCGGCTCAGAGGCGGCCGCAAGCTGCTCGGCTCGCCTGCCACTTCTGCCTCGCCTTGCCTCGCGCCGGTGGCTCGCTGCTCGGCCAGAGGATTTGTTCCCGGGGCTGGGGCCGTTTGCCAGCCTGCACCTTCCCTGTTGGAAGCCTGCTCTGGGTCCCGGCGAGGGGTCCAGAAACTGCCCCGCCGCTTTGCACCTGGCCGTGGCTGCGGCCCCACGCGCTGGGCTGCCCCTGCCCTTGGAAGGGGCGGCTCTCCCCCGGCCCCCACCCCAGGCCTCTTCACCTGCGTGCCTGCGATGTGGTTGTGTTTGTTCTTGGTTGTGTTTGTTCTTGGTTGTGTTTATATCCCGCTCTTCAGTCCAAAGACTTCCATCTGCAAGAGGGCTCTGAAAGGACAGGAGACACAAGGAAAGGTGTCTGTGTGTGTGTGTGTGTGCGCGCGCGCGCGCGCGCGCATGTGTGTGTGTGCGCGGCGGGGGAGCATAATGGGGGTGCCTGAATAAGTCCACGTAAGTCGGGTCTGAACAGCAGCTGTTGTCCGGCTGGGCCATCCCGTCCCCCTTTCTTCTCCGCCGCAATTTCTCCTCCGTCGAATCCACGGCCACCCGTTCCTCCCATCCTTCTGCCTGGGAGGGCCTCGCCCTGCACTGGCCACAGAGGTGGGGAGGCTGCGGCCTCCCAGTTGCTCTTGGAGTGGAGCACCCATCTCCTGTGCCCATCATCAGTGGCGGCCAAGATGATGGGAGTCGGGAACCAGCAGTATTTGGGGAGCTGCTGGTCCCCAACCCAGGCTTACCAGATCTGCAGGGAAGGGCTGAGGCAGCAGGTCCCGGTTGAGGTTCATGCTTGGGGGGGGGTTCTGTGCCAGCTGTGAATCCCGCCCCCCCCCAAGCCTCACCACTGCAGACTGACCTGGTCACACCCAGCTCCGCGAGGGCAGAACGGGGCAGAGAGCAGGCCCAGGACAACCCATGTGCCTACACAGTTCCCATCAGCCCAGGGCAGCAAGGCCAGCGGAGGAGAATTAGGGCGACTGCAGGCCAAACATCTGGACGGCCAGGCCCCGCACAGCTGGGAGACTAGCTAAAGTGCTGGTTTTGATCGTCAAAGCAAGCTTCCCGCCCCAGCAAGCCACTCCGCCTTGAGATTGCCTGATTTTCTTGTCTGGCAATTTCCCCAGAGTCCAAACCTCCACATTATTTTAAAATATGTGACTGTACTTAATCGAACGAACAGTTCTGTGTTCGTTCATTTATTTTCCATTTAGGAAAAGGGGGGAAATGTCTGTGCATGTGTAGGAAGCAAGTCTATTCAAGAAAGGGAAAAACTGCCTCTTGCTTGAACTTCTATTGAACTTAGGGGGCCCACGGATTCTCATGCCGTCAGCGAAAGCAAAATAGCTCCTAATTATGCTCTTCATTTATTAATTAGCTGGTGATGGCTGGAGGTAGCTTGCCATCCACCCCCAGATTTAATTCCCAGATTTAATTCTCGTAGCTCCTAATTGTAACAAACTATGTGGAAGAATAGTGCCAGGGTTCCTCCCCTTCCACTAAGCATTCTCTCTTACTCCTTGGATGCTCAGCCAGGCTCGGCCCTCCTAATTCGGCTCGTCTGCACTGGCATCAAGGGGAGTTTGTACATCTGGGAGCCAGTTTTGCACACTGGGACGGCGAGCCAAGATGTCCATAACAACCCGAG